AAACGTCTGGTAAATTCTATGAGTACAATGTTCTGATGACGAGCTTTCCGGACTTGATAAAGTTTTTTCACACCAAAACGTCTTTTATAATCCCATCCGGTATACGTTTTCCTAGAGTTCCAATAATTGTCCTGATCATCATCACTATCTTCTTCGTCGATATCAGATTCGTTATTATCGTCATCATCTATGTTGATGGGTGAGACCTCATTATCTAATAATCCCAAAGCCTCCAAGAATTCGTATACCTCAATCTTATCACCAGTACTAGTGTCAGAATAGGTTTGTTCCATGACGATAATATACCAAAATATCTTACCTTCAATTTAGGTTATTTAGCTTCCCTCATCTATGGTCATTCCGCGCTGTAGTAAATACTCAGCATCAGGCGAAAATATGTTACGTCACTAAACAAATGTTACTGCTCCCTCTAAGACTCCCAAAGAGACTGATGATGATTTTGATAAAATACTCGTGGAATTCACAAGAACTGTGATATATACTTTAATAATCCCGTACTTCAGTTAGTAATGAGTCCTACCATCTCTCCAGTGACTGCCTAGGATACTCGCTTAGACTGAATTATGCGAAATCATATATTATCTATTTCTTTTTTTTTTCCAAATTATGTAGATCGATCACCTGAAATGCGTAGAAGATATTCGGTAAAATTCTTGCTGAAGAATAGGGGCTGTGTGATGTAAGATCTACATATATATTCAAATTATTTTTTCTCTGACTTTGATTTGCATTTATTTTTTAGGTCATGTCTCCGACATGCTATTAACAAAACAATATTTGAGTATGGATATTTTTCTGACAATCATTATTTCGCATATGAGATTTGGGGATGCATACGCTAATCCTTCGTCATTTTTATTGATTTGCAGAGGGGATTAACAAATGACGAAATGCAGTGCGTAATTGCTGGTGAAAATCTGGAGAATATTTTCTTCTGCGACATTTACAAGTGATATAAAATGAGGTCAGTATATTTTTTCGATTTTAGTTGAGAGGAAAGTCCTAATATGTCGAGCTCAGAATCAACTAAAGCTTCAGAATCTTTACAGGTCCCAGAGAGATCCCGTCTATCTCTCGTTAATCATAGGAACCTTGCTTATAATATCTTAAAGTATCTTGAGAATGATATTGTTGGGGATAAAGAAATTTTGGAGCTAGAGCCATGTTCTGAATATACAAACAATATTCTGACACTCCCTCTCAAAGCACTTACAATACTGTCATGTGGGCATATTTTTCACAGGTCGTACATCAAGAAGCAACTTCTTTTTACCAAACCTGGCAGATGTCTATTTCCAGAATGTGGGAAGACTATCGAATTGTCGTAAATCCAAATTCTACTAGGAGAGATTCACAATCATCTCAATCAAGTAGAACTTCAGCCTTATCTAATTTGATGAGCGAAAAGTTTAACCTAATTCCAACAACAATACCAGAAGATCCGATGGAGGATGTTGAGGATACATCAAATCAAGAAACAGAAAAATGTGCAATATGCGCTAAATGTGTCGAAGAGATTTCTGCAGATATCTCAAAAGATACTGTCTTTTTATCCTGTAAGCATATTGTCCATTATGACTGTATTGACAATCCTCGCAAGAAATGCCTCACTTGCCTAGGTGAAGTTTTGGAATTGATTCCAGAAGAAGAGGCTTCAAGTACCGCTCAGAGAAAACGTATTAGTGACTTATCCGAATCTACCAAACAATCCTCATCTAAAAAACAGAAGACCTCAACTAATAACGGGGAATCAGCTACTCTTAAGAGACTTATCAAGGAGCTAAAAACGCTAAGTTCTGTGAGCACTGATACACAACCTTCAATCGCTAATCCTGGGAATCTTACTGAATTGTATAAGGCAATCATCATGGCTGAAGACAAAAATAGAGATACAAATTGAGTAGTTATTATGAGATATTATTTGTTTGGGAAGGAACTTGAAAAAATTTTTGCCAGATTCAAAAGCAGTTATAGAGAACGTAAGGCTCAGAGAATGCTTATCAAGGAAGTTACAAAACAGCTTCCAGGTGATTTCTCGAAAAATACCATTGAGAAAAGAATAGAAAGGGGAAGAAAGGTTTATGATCTATTTAGTGATATCGGGTATGATAAGATACAATTGATAAAGTCATGTTCAGCTTCGCAAATATACAAGTTAAGTTGGGATGACATAGATACTATAGAAACAGAATTTGAATAGTTACTGCGCCATAGTCACGTGACTTTGCTGACCCGCGGGTCAGAGAAATCAAAATGCGAAAAAATAAATAGTTCACTTTCATTTCGGCTATTTTTGTCTGCCTATGTATTAACCATAGTCAGTTTGTATGTGCTTATCAAATAAAGTTTTGCCTACATTGGGCTTTCTCCTTTTTTAACTATATATCCTTATAAATGCTATGCGACTGCTTATCGAATAAATTAGACTACCCCTTACTGATCATCTTGTGATTTATGGAAACTCAATAACAACACTTCTAGGAACTAGTAGGGAATTGGTGAAGATCTCATGTGATACAATATATAATATATCATGTCATAAACTGATTTAGCCGAAAGTGCTGTGCATATGCATGTAAATATAAAATCCGAAGGGATATGACCCTATATAAATCCCTATAATTGAATAAAAATGAATTTGAGTTTAGTAATATGTAGTCTCACCAAATCGGCTACAAATCGATAAAGTTGCTTATAAATTTGAATCTGTTATTTATTAGAGTATAATATCTCTAAATCAGTCAAAATTGGCTATAAACTATAAATCAATAAAATCGTTATAATCTACTAAAACGCTAATATGGATTTTGATAGTAGAACCTATTCTAAGCTAATTGATGCATGGAATACTCATGGAGGCTCTGAAGATTATAGAAGAATACTTGAAAGATTAGGCCCTTTAACAAAAAGACATGATCACGAAATACCAGAAATGTGATGCTCTCATATTCGTGATCCATTTAGGAAAATACTAGAAGATAACCCAAGAATTCTTTCTAAGAATGGATATATTACGATGTATGAAAATTTAATTGAAAGAAGTGATAGAGTCCATGGTCTTCCATCAAATTACATATATTGTAGTGTATGTGACTTCTTAGTTTTCATATCTGAAAATGGTCTTGATTGTCATTCTATAACCTATCGAGATAACCACTTGAAAAGATGCATTTCTGAAAATAGTATTTCAAATGAACATGCGAGAAGAAATGAAATTTTCCAATCTATTGATAGAAGGGAATTTCAGATCTGGCAATATAAACAATACATATTAAATGAAGAGGCTGAAATTAATCGTCTTCATCTAAAGCTTTTCTCCCAATTTACCTTACACTCAGAAAAGGATAAATTAGCATCTGTATCATATGATCATGATACACATTTAACACTATAAAGCATATGTCCAGTCTAAAGCAACTATGATAAAAAATACTATTCCAAATGCTCCAAAATTTGAGCCAGCTTATATTTCACCTACTAGACAAGAAATGATTTTACTAACTTCTTATCAATCATCGGCTCCAAATGAGACCATAAGCGAAATATTTATCTCATCTCGATATGCTAAACAAAATAACTTATTACCATCTATAGACCATCTTAATCAGCCCGCATTAAGATTGAGAGATGGTACAAAAATCACATTCATTTAACGACTGAGAAATATATTAATTATAGACTATTGAAGATTAATATCATTTAGCTAAAGGCGTAATATATAACTTATACTTTATTTTTTTTGCACTATATAATCTGCATACATGATCGTCTAGTATAATTGTAAAATGTTTTATATGCACTATTCATGATCTGCCTATTCTGGGTTAGATCCTCCAATATATATTTTAATAAAGTATTTCAGGAAGATCTATGAAGCGATCTTGGGGATTCTTGATTGCAAAACGATATAACTATCAGTTTGAGAATTTCTATGCAACAGTTATCTAGCGAGCTTATAGGAATTATAAGAAGAGATCTGAATCTTTGGCAAAACGGATTTGGGAGGCGATGAGGAATGATGGTACTCCTGATAATAAGAAGTATTTAGGTATAACTTCTTACATTCCTTATTTTGACTGGGAATTTGAGAAGAAATTACAATTATATATAAGATTAGCTAATGTAACACATGGTATTATTTTTAAATTATTATATCAGCGAGGCTATATAATCATTAGAGGTTCAGATTGGACTAACCAGTTAAAGTGGCTACAGAATCCTGAATATTATCGTATTGATAAAGATAACATTGAATATCTCATTAGAGTTACAGAATGTGAGAAATATAAGACTAATTCATAGAGTATAAAATCAATCGGTGAGCGTGTCGGATTATAATTCTTGCAATGAAATAAAATGTGTCGCCTGAATTTTTCAGATCATCAGATCCTGAATATTATCTTAATAAAATAATATATTGTCTAGCCACAATGCATGTAGCCATGTGTGACATAAATTAGCACGTTTTTGATCCTCGTTAAAGTGTATATGATGTAATAGATAATATACCACAAATCATTTATAACTCTGTGTGACTGCTTGTGCGAAAAATCAATTTTCACACATAAGAAATCGATCCCCAAAATATTTTGAATTTTTTCCCTATCTATCTGAATAGCATTCATTTATGAGTATATTTCCTCCGGCTATTCCTACTAGATTTCGACCGGAGTGTATTTGTATAATACTACTAGGCCTTTATTACTGAGTGATCGGTAAGTGAAATAAAGAAAAAGTATGTATATACATATCTCTAGCGTCTTTGTAAATATTGAGATCTTTAATGCACATTTCACATGTCCTTATTCTCTAACACAAAATTTTGGCGTAAAGTACTTCGCATATTTCTCCTATCTCTTTTCCCTAACATGAAGAGAATGTAAGAAATGGTGGCATTTAAAAGGACGGTATAGAAAATTTATGTATAGGTCATTGAAAACTTCACATTATAACGTACATTTTTATTAATATTATTTACTATGTTGAATTTAATAGCTAAGGTTGAAGCTCTTTTATTGCAGGAATCATTTGACACTCTTTGTGAGGCGTCCATAGTTTATTTAACAATAGAGGATAATATTTCACCTCCATATGACAAAGTACAGGAAATAGTTGATCGAGCGGTCAATTCATCATTAGCAAAGCTAACAGATCTTGATTGAAGAACTAAGGTATTAGAAATATTACCGCAGGTATAGCATAGATAAGATTTTTTATTTCTGTTTCTTATTTTAATGACGACACTATAGTAGATATTGGCTTTAGTTTTGGTATATCATAGCTGAAGGTCAGGGAGTGCCGGCCCAGAAGATCAATGTCTTAGGATGTTGAGGGTTTTTGCTCCTCTCTACTGTGCGTGACTATTCAGCCAAAATAATGATGATATGCCTTTATAAAAAAATCCTGAAAATACATGTGTAACAGAAATTATAATTCATGAATTTGGGATGGGAATAATGTACCGGTACTTTTTTATCACATCTACTATAAGTGGAGAGTGGATATATCAGTATTCGCAGGCTAAAAGCATTAAAAGTATTGAATATGGATAGAGAATTACCTCTCGACCATACTCAGGAAGAAATAGAAGAAAATCTTAATAAGTTAAAATCTAAACTCAAGGTAACTACTATACCGTTTGAAGATTTTTTATATTTAAAATTAACAAGCTTTTGTGTTTAGCATCCTACAACAGAAGCGGACATAAACCTTTATGGTTCACTTAAACAAAGTTTAGCAGGTATAGAATATTCAGATCTCACATAGCGAGACCCTGAAGCAAGCATGGTTTTAAGTGATAATTCAGACATCGTAAAAAACTTAGAAAGTAGGCAAAAAAATATCTTCATAGAACCTCGAGAAAAAATAAAATGTGCCTTACCTGATTCGGTTATCGCTAAGTGTATTAATTTTGTGAAAGTTTTCAATAATACAAAGAATGCAGGGTCTATGAAAAACATACTTTACAATAAAAAATGGAAAGAAAGTGAGACAGATTTAGTAAAAATAACGGAACGTATTCTAGGCATAATGTAAGTTGTTTACTTATTCGAAAATTAATAAAACATTACTGTATTAATCACACTTTCTTTATCAGTAGTGAAATATGGAGCAATCCTGAATTTATGACCAGTACATCCTGCAGTGAGCAGAGTGAAGGGACATATATTGCAGATGTCATAATTCCTTTACTTCGAACGAGTTTGAGCGATCTTCTGAATAGTGCTATTTGTTTAAGCACAGCGGAACGTCAAAGTATAGCAAGTAAAGCTTAAAGAAATCTAGGAATAATTGGAGAGCGGATGGGAAAAAACCTGACATTATGGGTTTATTGGAGCAAGATAAAAAAATTATTGAGCTATTGTATACCGAGTCATCACGTATTGTTTGTAGTAACTCAAAAAAATCAGACAATGAGGTTAAGTTATGGAGAGAAACATTAGATGAAGCAAGTTATATTAGTGCATTATGTAGACCAACCGAAAATCAATTTGGTATTGTGGGAATTCAGGTCGTGGGTACAACTATATATCTGAATATTCTTGTGAATGATCTGGCTGGTATACCAAGATACTTCCATCTAGATCATGCAGAAATTCCATTATCCTTTCACCAGTCACGTCTAAAATCTCCTATTCGTTTATTATTAACCCTGAGAAATGTAATGATCGTGAATAAGAGTCTTCTAGTGCAGGCATTAAAACAAGCCACCTCTCATCCACCTCGAAATGTTAACCCAAGTCTTACCATTTCTACGCCACTATATAATAATTAGGAAAGAGATGCATCGGGTTATATTGCCATATCATGTAATTTAGTATATAAAGCCTATGTATTTTTATATCAATAAAAGCGATCCTGGTGGTCAATTTCACAAGCATACATTCATATTTAATTATATATTTTTGTGTGGGTGGGTGTATCAGATAATAAAATTTTTGAATTTCAGCGAACTGAGTTCGCCAAAATCACGTGATTTTTTACTTTTGAATATTAACTACATTACGCTAGCATGCAATCTGAAATAGATGAGACTGATTCATTGAAAATGTGCATTGCCAGGCTTGAGATCGAAAATTCTGAACTTAGAAAGAAGTTTGCTGAGATTGAAGCCAGGAATGCTGAGCTTAAGACCAGAATTTTGAAATTGGAAGATAAGCAAACACAGAACGAATTGATAAAAAATTTACTATCTGTATCACATGATAAAAACCATCAACTAGTTAAGGATCAAATTCATATGATTTGATAGATCCCTTACCAGATGTGATGCAACCCGCAATATAGACGCGTAAAAATAGTATCACTATAGGTGAATTTTGCGTGCAAACTTTTTTTGCGCAAAATTATATCTATTATAATGTTCCATTCTGACTATAAGCATATTATTGATAGACTACCCGAAAGTCTTGTCAAGAGAGCGTGTGAGAGACTCTTGCACCATTCTAAAGATCCTGTTCCATTAGAATCTATTTCCAGAAAGTTTGAACGAATTGAATCTTATTTGAAGCACATATTAGAGGTTTATGAGAATTCGTTAAATAAGAAGAAACGTAAAACTATGGTCTAGAAAAAATTATTGCACCCACGAAGCTGGCCAGAATGTAATGTATTCCCTACATCACTGGCTATATATGTTACTGACATTGGAGTCTAAACAAATGGCACCTGGCCAGAGGCACTAAAGCATGATTATGAAGAAGAGAATAATTGCCGGGTTATAAATGAGCTTAAAGTACTATCCCAACACCTGGTCGATTATAATAAGAGGACTTTTGGGAAGTTTATGGAAGACATAGAAAAGGATTATAGAGAGCGGGTTACTGCAAATAAGAAAATGCGCTATGAGATCGAAAATTTGAAGATGCAACTGCTGGAGGCGAAAAAGAAGCTGGCATCTATGAAGTCGAATTCTTCTCATTAGTTGGGAATACTTTTGCAAAGTAAGATCCTGGCCAAGATCATGCGCTTTTTGAGGATCTTTATAAATAACCAGTTCTTCCATATTTCTATATAATCACGAAAAAAGAATGGCATTTCAGAGGCCTCATCCAAGGTAGAGAAGAACATGTGAAGAATATAAAGCTGAGCTGGAGGAGGAGAATTATCATCTTCGTAGTGAATTGCAAACAGAAGTTGATACTAACCATCAGAATGAAAGATGAATTAATTAACTGGAGCAAGATTATTCCTGGTGTGAGTAAGAAATCTAAAATCTCAATAGGAAGATAGAGCGTTTTGAAAATGCTTCAGAAGAAGAGATAGTGGAGTTGAAATCTGAAGTCTCTAGTCTAAAAAGTCAGCTATATCAAACTAAGAAGGATGTATGAAATAAGAAAAAGGTTATTACTGATCTAGAAAAGCGCTTGGAAGAATCTGAAGAGCAAATTGATAGACTATGATGCCGAATTAGAGCTATCTCATCACAAAAGAATACGCCTGAACAAAGGAATCCTTCAGACTTGTATAATCCTAATATTAACTTAGAAATGGCTACCATCACAGAGCTTGCAAATACTATAGACGGATTTTTAGATAATACGACAGATAGGGTAATCATGTCAAACCAAATAAAAAGAGCTACAAGGCAGATTTGCCGAAAAGAGAATAATTTGCATCAGGATTTAGTTCATGAGCAGAGAAGGCAATATGATGCAGAGGCTGAACGTGATAATGAGATTATACGAAAACAAAATGCTAAAGGAGTGGAACAACTAGTTATTGCTGACCTTTATTAATTGCGGACTAATGCTTGAAATCAGGTTAACAGAATGTTAGATAGGATGACAAGAAAGCAAAACCGTATAGGTGAGTTGGTACAAGAAAAATTTGCCTTACAGTTACTCTATCAGCGAAATGCCTACCACCTACAGCGAAGCAGAGGAGATATAGGTCTGTTAGAATATAATCGAGACAGGTTCTATGAACGATATGAGAAATGGAAAAATAAGACTCAAGCAGAACGCCAGAATAATTTAAATTTGCAGGGACAAATTTTGGCGTTACAGAATAATCCACCAAATCAAATAAACATGGCAGGAGAACACCCATATTTTGACTGGGGTAATAACATTCCAGATTTTCTTGCACAACTAAGATTAGACTTGCAAAGACATGGTATAGATCTAGCAGATAATGCAGGGGGTCCACCAATAGGAAAAGATCAGGCGCTAGGATATTTAAGAGGATGTATGAGAGGAAGAACTCTAGAATGGTTTGATGAAGAGATCATTACAAAAACAAATTGGGAACTAACTAACTTGGCTAATGGTACAGGATAAGCTAATTTAGTAGTAGTAAATGGGCGTACTGCGCTTCAGATAGGTGCTGATGGATTAAATGAGGCGGCCAGACAACCTGGAAATGCAATAGTCAAGTTAAGAGCTGTAAAAGACCCTTGAAATGAAGATTGGCATATGGCAAGAGGTCATCCTACTAACCTTCCAGTAAATTTATCAAATGCTAGCAATGGTACTACAGTAGTTGTACCTGATATTCGATTTGGTCAAGCCATATGGTGGCTAAAAACACATTTTCCTACAGTGGAAAAGGAACTTCAGGATTTGATGTATGAAACAATCAGAAAAGGAAACATGACTATAGATGAATTATATAGAAAAATATTGCGAATAGGTAGACGAGCTAATTATAGACCCAAAGAATTACATAGAAAGTTTTTAAATGCTCTTCCACTTCCATGGCTTGAAAAAGCTGAGGATATTGGTGAACATTTACCATTAGATGAATTAGCTAAAAGCTTTACGAGATAGAGTTACGCTGAATAGTTAGATATAAAAGAGATAAAATATCTGATCTGCTAGTATCTAATCGAGCATCTCGACAAATGTATGAATCTTCACCTATTTCAACCTTACAGCAACAAGGAATTTCTTTAGAAGATGTACAAAAAGCAATTTAAAACGCACTGGCACAGCAAAAAACTGAATACCAGTCTTTATTAGAAAAGCAAAAATCTGATTTTCAATCACAAATGACTCAGCAAGTATCTACTCTACAAACTGTTGAACCAGTTAGACAGCTAAAAGGTCCACCATCTTCACTGAAAACAGAGGAAGGTCTCAAGAATTATTATGTAGTCGAATACTTAAAAGAAGTAGGTCTACTTAATAAGAAAGATTTAGACTCAGATTATCCTGTAAAGCCTTTTCAAAGACTTCATCCACAGCGAAGCAATAATTCTGCTAGATTTGATAGGATTGAAGAAGGACTTGATGAAACTCGTGATGCAGTAAATCAATTAACAAACCAATTTCAGAAACTAAATATACGTAAATGTGATATTTGTGAAGAAACTGTCATAGTAAAGGCAGTTGCCCCAAAAGGCAGATAGCACAATCTAATTTTAATCGATCTTATTTTAAACCTCTTACGCCTATAAATTTCCAAAACACAACTCCCAATTCAGATGAGGAAAATGGAGATAATAATGAAGAAAAGAATAGGTGGTATGATCTATCGGTAAAAAAAAACAGGTAAATAAAAAGTTGTCTTTAGAATCCAACCAGTCCGAAACATATGATGAGCTATTGCCAAAGTTTTCACCAGCAATGTGCAAAATGTGTCTATCTCGAAAAGCTCAGGAGGAAAAGTCAAAAAAAGATGAGTGGTTTTCGTCCTTATAATACTTGAATGCTAGTATAAATGACTTACCAATCTCTGAATCTTTTTTAGATAACGAAAGTGAATTTGATGGATTTAATTTAGCTACTGCTGAAGAGCTTGGATGAAAAGTTGATAAGCCTTCCAAATTTGCTGTAAAAGGTAATTCTGAACATATCTCTGAAGCACTAGGTTAGTATACAAATGTAGCGGTCATTCTGAAAGATATGGAAGGGAATCCAATCATTACTATTGTTAGAAATTATGCTTGTGTTGACAATGGTGAGCCTATGGTTGAGAACAACAGGAATTCGAAAAGTCAAAGGTATTTCTGATCTAACTAAAAATCAGTTTCGCATAGAGGATTATGGAAAAACTTATATTATCCCAACCTTTAGCAAGGTTCCGGTAGTCAAGGATCCGCTAAAAGAGGAGCAGGACCAAGTAACCACTGATTCCTCTAGCCTGACTAGTGAAGATTTAAAAAAAAGTGCATAAATTGCATCACAGTCAAGGATATGGCAATTCATGTAAAAGAGCTTGAGAAAGCATTATTCTCTAGTATCCAATCGAATTTGGAAATTATAGGATACTATAATGCTTTGCTTGACCAGTATAAAAGAAAGGTCGAGTAATTAGTTGGGAATAAGAGTATGACCAGATGCTCTAATTTTTTCTATTTCAGAACTACTTCTCTTATACAAATCTAAGACATCTTCGGAAGATTCGGTAGATGAAATATTTTCTTTTTTTATTCCAGGAATTGCTTAACTCCCTTGGGACCATTTTTTTTCTCCGGTCTTTTTTGCCTTTCTACCTGCACTTTCTTCCGAAACTGGATCAGTAGATTTGCTAATTTTAGTATCATGTATCTTGTTTTCCAGTGCTGTGAAGGCAGAATCAAATTTATTTTGAATTTCTCTTTCAGCTTAGCGCTCCTTATTCTGTTTATCCATAATATTTGTGCTTGGAATGACTGCTAAATCATTCTATTGAACCCTATTAAACTCTTGTCCTCTCCAAATTTGATATAAGCGACTATTCGATATATTATATTTTTTACTTAGCTAAGCTAAAGGTTTGGACTTCATATCACGGTATTACATAATGTCTTTGTAATCTGCGAGGGATAAGTAACTAGCTCTGGAACTAATA